TCACATGGAAGATGGAGCGAGCTTGTTTTCTCCTGCTCTGGAGGGTGGGACTCAAACCAATGGCTTCAAGTTACAAGAAAGGAGATTCTGACTACATATTTGGAAAAAACTTTCTGACAGAAAGAGCTGTTCAGCAGTGGAATGGTCTCCCTCGGAAGGTTTGGAAGGAGAGTTTGGATTTGATATCCCGCTTTATCACTACCCTAAGGAGTCTCAAAGCGGCTCACATTCTCCTTTCCCTTCCTCCCCCACAACAAACACTCTGTGAGGTGAGTGGGGCTGAGAGACTTCAGAGAAGTGTGACTGGCCCAAGGTCACCCAGCAGCTGCATGTGGAGGAGCAGGGAAGCGAACCCAGTTCACCAGATTACGAATCTACAGCTCTTAACCACTACACCACACTGGTGGTGGGCTCTCCTTCCTTGTAGGTTTTTAAGCAGAGGTTGGATGGCCATCTGTCATGGATGCTTCAGCTGAGATTCCTGCATTGCAGGGGGTTGGACTAGATGATCCTCGGGGTATCTTCCAACTCTAAGATGATATTATTATTATTATTATTATTATTATTATTATTATTATTATTCTACTAATAATAACAATAAATTTTACTGGGGGAAAGGCGCCTAGACATTCTGTTGTGGCGACCCTAACCTATTTTAAGGTGCCATTTGCCGATTTAGCTTATATATCTGAATTTCTAACATTGAGTTACAAGCATTGTGAAAGATATATGCATCTGAAATTAGGAGACAGGGGCTGGATTCAACTAACCTGTCTGGCCAGGACAACAGGACTCCCCCTATCCCAACCTGCAAAATAAGATAAAGGTTCAATAAACAGGTCATTTAGAAGCAACCAGAGTATAATGAGGAAAATCCTTTTTTTAAAAAACCCCAAATCTAATAATAAATGGTTGCCTCCAGGAAGAATATAAGCACTTAATGGTCGCAAAGTATACAGAAGTTGTAGATCAAAGGGAGAGCCAAGCTTGTCATCAGTTTTTAGCACAGGTGGCAACTTACGACTGACATGTCATCATCTCTAACTTCAATAACTGGCACCACATATGTGGGAACTGTTTAGGGTCACAAAGTTAATGGATAATAAGGACCAATCCTTTGTCAATAAGCAAGCGCACACAGTAGGAAGTGAAGTCTTTAGCAATAAGAATCCCACTTTGCAAGAGGGGAAAAAAAAAGCCCAAAGTTCTGTGTGAAAGCACAGGATATTATTGAAGTTTAGAAGTTACTGGAAGATTTGGGGAATGCAAAAAATGTTTGCAAGGTGTTTTTTTTTAAGTGTGCGTTTTTCAACAGATACTAAAGATTAGATACCTTTATAATAAGAACAAAAGATGGGTGCATGTGTGTTTTGTTCCCTGAGCCCACAACATTAAAACATTCCAGTGGTTCAAAATATGGAAGCCAGCGAAAATGCCTTTCAGATGTACAGGATTCCTTTGGGTTGTTGTTTTCTTCTAAGACGACGGAAGATGACGAATGGTTTTTGGAATGCTCAGTCTTGGCCAAAAGAGCAGAGCCATAAAAACTCAAGAGAAGCCATTGATTTGCCTTAAAGCAAGGCGGCCAGGATGCCAGTAGTTCAATCCAAGTAGGACATTGTAAATCACGGATGGTTCAATAGAAGATGGGCCAGATCAGGCCCCAGAAGCCCCACCAAAGTTTAAGGCATGGCAAATCATTTGGTTGCATTTTAATCAAGGGATAGAAAGTCACTTGTAAGGAAAAGTGAGGCAGAGGAAAAATAAATATGCCTCCTTATATAATCACCTGATTTCTGGGACAGTCAATTGTTTTAAGCTGTTTTTAATACTATCTTTTAATGTTGTAACCTGGACCTTAGGATAAAGGGTGGGTAAATAAACAACAACAACAACAACAACACATTTTGCTTTCAGGTGTATGCATGCATAATTTGGGACCTGAGTCTCTGCTTCCTGAGGGTGAAGTCTTCACTTTGAAATGGTGGCAAATTTTCTTATGCCCCTGACCCAGCTTGTGCAGTAAATAAACTGAGCCCTGGACCACTGTTTGGAGAACAGAATAGATGTAAGAATACAGAAATTGGCTGTTCCTGCCTATAGAACAGGGTTTCCCAAACTTGGGTCTTCAGCTGTTGTGGACTACAATTCCCATCATCCCCGACCATTGGTCTTGCTAGCTAGGGATGATGGGAGTTGTAGTCCCAAAATAGCTGGAGACCCAAGCTTGGGAAACCCTGATACTGTATAGAGGAAGGAGCTGGTCAGGCATATGAAAAGCGAAGCATTTTTGCCTTGCTGCTGTCGCTTAACTGGCTGCTAACTATATGGCTGTCCTCCATTTGTTACACAAGGCATGACTAAGAAATACAGTGGTACCTCGGGTTAAGAACTTAATTCATTCTGGAGGTCTGTTCTTAACCTGAAACTGTTCTTAACCAGAAGCACCACTTTAGGCTAATGGGGCCTCCTGCTGCCGCTGCACCGCCGCTGCACGATTTCTGCTCTCATCCTGAAGCAAAGTTCTTAACCCAAGATAATATTTCTGGGTTAGCGGAATCTGTAACCTGAAGCGTATGTAACCTGAAGCATATGTAACCCAAGGTACCACTGTACTCCTTGATGGTGGTGGGAAGGGCACACTTGGAAAACGTGTGTAACTTGCCATGGCGAATCCAGGAGTTGCCCCTCTGTGGCCAAACCATAGTTTTTGTGTTATGTGCAGCACCTAACATTCTGCTGAGGCTAAGTAAATGCCGAATAGGCACAAAAAGTCTGGAAAGAAAATCCCAAGTCAAAATTAATCATTACATGACACACTCTACACTGTAGCGTTCCCTCAGAAGCACTTCAGTTAATATAGTAAGGCTCCAGCCAGTATATTAAACCCCTGTTGTGGTTTAACTGTGAATGCCCTACTGATGGGGGGGATTGCCTGCCTTTCTCCCAGAAAACAGAAAAACAGTGCCCAAGTTCACAGAAGCAGATGTGAGTCATAGCCCAATGGCACCTCACTCCAATAGGAATGCAAGATCTGCCCTGCTAGTCTAGCATCCTGTTCTCACAGTAGCCCAACAGATGCCTTTAGCAAGCAGGTGTTCAGTGCAACCATTAAGATATGAAGAACCTTTTCACACACTCTCTTAAGCCACTATCTTGGAAGAGTCTCTTGGCAACAGCATCTAAGACACAAGGATGGGGAACCTGGTACTCTCCAGATGGTGCTGAACTCCATCTCCCATCATTCCCAGCCACAATTGGCCAATGGTCAGGGACGATGGGTTTTGTAGTCCAACAAAATCCTGAAGGGCCACATAAATTATAATATAGGTATTCTATTAGATGTCTTTTAAAAATAAAATAGCAATTATATTCAAGGATCATGATTTTATTATTCTTATCATTTTCAGAATGTAGGTTATGTAAATATGCAATTATATGTGGGGAGGGGGGAGGACAAGAGGAAAAGCATGGCTGATAGGTCCATAATGAGGACCCCCCCCATAAGAAAATTCGCCTTAATCCCGGGGCCCTTGTGTTCTTGATGCAGCAGTATTTGCCAACCTGGTGCCATCCATAAGCTTCGGACTACAACTCCCATCACCCCCAGAAAGGCAGCTGGAGTCGGAAAGTGTTGGAGGGCACCAGGTTGCTACAGGCCGAGAAACAGTATACCTGTGGAGAGTAACAGAGAGACGGGGGTGGGACGCGCTTGCCCAGAAGCATCCCCATCGGCTGGCTTGTCGCGCAGCCCGCAATCTTGGGCATCCGATCCTCGGAACCAAAGGAGATGCCAAGGAGTTCAGTGGGGCTTCCCGCTACCCAACAGGCAGCTCTTCCGTCCTCTTCAGTCTCTGGCCTCTGCCCAACTCCCCCCCCCCCCCGCCTGCGCCCCCTCGACGGCAAGGCAAGCGCCTTCCTTGCTCCCACTTTCCCCTGGGCGCGAGATCCACCCAGCCGCTGCTCCAGGGCCTGCGCAACCGTCTCCCGCTTTCCCTCCCCGCGCCGCCACATCGCCAAAGGCGCCGTCACCGCGCCAGCCTCGCGCGCAAAAACGCACCGACACAAAGCCACCGCTTGTGCTCCTCCTGCGTCTGGCGGGCGGAGCTCCAGCTGCCTTGGCCCGCGTCCTCCGGCCCGCCCTCGCCGCGCTGCTTTCCTAACCACTGGCTTCCCATCCCCGGCAGCCTCCCTCGCCGCGCAGCCAATGAGAGGCCCGGGCGGAGGGCCGACCTGAAAGGGTGTTGCCTGGCCAGGCGCGTCTCATTGGCGGCGCCCGCTTCCCCAAAAGGCTCGGTCTCCCCCTCCTCTCTCTGGCGTCAGAAATAGAAGCGACCAGATCGGATTTGGCAACGGGCGAGGGTGGATCGTGCCGGCTCGGAAGGCGCACCGGGCGGGTTGCTGGCTTGCTGCGCGCACAAGCGAGGCGGCGACGAAGGGAAAACGAATTAAGCAACAACCGCTACCTGACATTAGATCTCAGATCGCCCCCCCCTCCTACTCACTGGATCCGAGGGAGCCGATCCCGCCGCCCCCCTCCTCGAGCTGCCCCCAAAGGAATTCGTAATAATTACGCACGGAGCCGGGAGGTGCAATAGAAACCAGAGGAGCGGGACGAGGCGCACGAAAGGGGTTTGAAGGCGCGCTTTGGAGACCGCGATCATGGCGCTGGATTTCCTCGCAGGCTGCGTAGGAGGTAAGCGCTGGCGGGCGATTCCGCGCTGCCAGGAGAAGCGGAGCTGCTCTATTGTTATCTATCTTTGCGCGATCCAGTTATGTAAGGAAGCCGGGGCGGGGGCGAGAGAGAGACAGCAGCTGGGCTGCCCGTGTCTGCGCCTTTGGAGAGCCTCGTGTGTGCGCGCGTTGCTTGGCGCACTGCAGCGGGGATGTGCTGCCTACCCGTCCGCCTGCCTCCAGAGAGAGGGTGGGGGCACACTGCACGCTTGGAAGGGAAGGAAGAGGCACCGCGGGAAGCCTTGGCGCGATGGGTGCCTCCTTACCTCTTCTTGCACCCCTGTCTCCCTCCTCAAATTCGTGACTTGCTTCGGTGCCTTGGCGCGCCGGCGCCAGCTCTCTCTCCGCTGCCCGCATTGTCCCTGAGGCCCGAGGGGGCCATTGTCCCTCTCGGCGCCGACACTGCACCGGTGCCCATAAAGGCAGAGCCGGTGAGTCAGCGCTCGGCAATCGGCTTCCCTTTTCCCTCCTGCCAGAAACTCTCCGAGGGGGTCTGACTGCCACCTCCTCGAACAGGGCTGGAACGGCGCGAAATCGAAGCGGGCGTTGTGCGCTCAGACGCCCGGCCTCCCTTGTTTCCTTGGGCTTCGCCTGTCGAAACTTTCCCCTCCAAGCCAGGGATTTTATTTGGGCCGGGTCTTGGATCTCTACTGTTGTCGAAGTGATCCTTGTTGGAGTAGCGGGTGCCTCTCTGAGCACGCGCAGAGTTCAGTTCTCCCTTCCCACTGAGCGCACACCATCAACCTTCCCTGCGAGATGTGAGCTTTGTGAGGCCGAGGGAGTGGTCTCGCGCAAGGTCCTTTCCCTTAACTGGGCGAAGGTATTTCTGCGCGCCCCCGCGGCTCATAGCTGACCCCTCCCCCTAACCCCTCTAACCCTTATTATAGGGCTGTCTTTTGTAGGAAGGTGGGGCTGCGCACCAATTTCCTGAAGTGTCTTGTGCTGGAAGGACAAGCGAGAACCTCCTTCCTCTTGGGTGGGGACACAGTAAAAAGGAAACAAATGGACTTCTGCCAAGGGATGCTGCTCACCTCTCTGCTAGCATATTGGGGGGGGGCATGGGCGTAGCCAGGATTTATGTTGGGGACAGGACACCCACCTGTCATCACCCTCAGTCTGGCAGACTCGGAATGAAATGCCTCAACAACAGTTGTTTTCAATTCCTTTCTTTTGACCGCAAGTGCTCAGAAAAATCTGCCAGGATCTTTGATAGAACGCACCACAACACCATCCAAGTGACCTCAAATATTCTGGTTATTTCTACTTTTAGTCAAGAATTTTATTTATTTACTCGGCTACCCCCCTGGCTACACCCATAGAGGATGGTGCTGTTTTTTTGTGGTGTGGGGCTTCAAGTCTTATTATTTCTGCCCCTTTGAAATTCTTGAGGTGTCCTTATTGTGTGCACCGCTGGAGTGGTGACAGCCACTTTACCCAATCTGTCCTCCCCCCCCAAAAAAAAAAATCATACAAGTTTGTATCCAATATAAACCCATTCAAGATAATGAATACTCTGCTACTCTGAGCTTGACTTGCCTACAATTTCAAAGTTAGCTTCCTCATAGTGCTGGATGAGTTTACTCCTTTTTTTATTTTAGCTGCATTAGGATCTTGCAGCAAGAATAATAAAGATCGTGGCACCTTAAAGACTAGCATCTTTATTATGGCATAGCCGCTTGTGGGCTAAAACACAATTTGGCAGGTGCTCATGTCCCAAGATCTTATGTTTTGAGGGGCGGAAGAGAGAGAAAGAAGAAACAAAGTGTGCATCTCCTTGCCTTGATTTTGATGAAGCAATGCAGGTCTGACTCTGGAGATGTCGTCTTCCTCCAGTGAAAGTTACAACAGCGAGTAGCTGGCTGGTTTCAGCCTATTGAGACTTTCCTTCTCCCTTCCGTTGTTGACTTCCCTCTTCTCTCTCCCCCGCTCTGCAGGCACAGTTCGGGGTTATGTAGAACACTCTGTACTTAATATCTTCATCTGCTGCAGTTTTAAGTATGCCACTTTGCGTGTGATTTTTAAGTCCTTGCCAAATCGGTTTTAATAAGATTAACACAGCGGCACTCAATTGGATCCTTAAAGGAAGAACTTAACAGGAGCCTGTTGACATTTTAACCCTGCGTTATTTTTGAATATGCTATGCAGAAAATATTTAAAAATATGTAGGCTGAAAAGCATCAATCCCCCTAGCCATACTTGTTCAAATACTTGGTTTAAAAATGTGGGGTTGGTTTTTTTTAAGTACTTGCATCACTTCCCACAGCAATTGCATGCTTACAGCAATCTTACTAGAGCACTAGCACTTGGTCTCAGATGCAGTGGCTAACCTGTGTTTCCCTTTAGATATTGTGGGACTGTCATTCCCATTATCCTTGGTCATCTGCCATGCTGGCTGGGGCTGATGGGAGCTGGAGTCTAGGAATTGCATCCAGGGAAGTTCTTCTGTTTTGTGCAAGGACTTCTGCTTGTGCAATGTAACTTCCTCTCCTCCTCTTCTCAACCCATACCCTTTCCCCATAATTTCTACTGGGGGGGGGTCAGAAGAGGTGCACAAGCAGAGGTCCTTGGGTGGATAGGATGAGTTGATTGGATACAATCTTAAGATGAGCTTGGAGTTTCCTTCCCCATCTCCCCATGTGTTAAGATGCACCTTGAAGGCTCTGCTCATTTGACTGCCTACAACATCTGTCAGGTTAGCAGCCACGAAAGACGGAGCCTTCTCAGTGGTGTCCCCACCCTCAGTTAGAGAACTCCCTTCTAACAGGATTGTGGTTGTCACCCCTACAAAACAGACCTTTGGACTGGTCTTGAGAACTCATCTGTTCTGGGTATCCTTCTCCAGGGTTTTTGGTTTAGCAATCAGTCCTGCTTCCCAGGGAACTCTGGGATTGTAGCTCTGTTAGGAATAGGAATAGGGATGCGGTTAAACCACAGAGCCTAGGACTTGCCGATCAGAAGGTCGGCGGATCAAATCCCCACGACGGGGTGAGCTCCCATTGCTTGGTCCCTGCTCCTGCCAACCTAGCAGTTCGAAAGCACGTCAAAGTGCAAGTAGATAAATAGGTACCGCTGTGGTGGGAAGGTAAATGGTGTTTCCGTGCGCTGCTCTTAGTCATGCTGGCCACATGACCTGGAAGCTGTACGCCAGCTTCCTCGGCCAATAAAGCAAGATGAGCGCCACAACACCAGAGTCGGCCATGACTGGACCTAATGGTCAGGGGTCCCTTTACCTTTACCTTAGAGAGGAATAGGAGTCTCCAAACAACCTTTAGCACCCTTAATAAATTAAATTTCCCAGAATTATTTGAGGGAAGCCACAAATACAGTAGGGCTGAGTCCTGTAAAGGTAAAGGACCCCTGGACAGTTAGGTCCAGTCAAAGGCAACTATGGAATGTGGTGCTCATCTCTCTTTCAGGCCGAGGGAGCCGGCCTTTGTCCACAGACAGCTTTTCAGGTCATGTGGCCAGCACAACTAAACCGCTTCTGGTGCAACGGAACACCGTGTTGGAAACTAGAGTGCACGGAAACGCCGTTTACCTTCCCGCCGGAGCGGTACCTATTTATCTACTTGCACTGGCCTGCTTTCGAACTGCTAGGTTGGCAGGAGCTGGGCCCGAGCAACAGGAGCTCACTTTGTCGTGCGGATTCGAATCGCCAACCATCTGATCAGCGAGCCCAGGAGGCTCAGTGGTTAGACCACAGCGCCACCCGCATCCCTCCTACCTGAGTCCTATAGACAGCAGCCATGTGACTTCCGTAGCCTTCTGTGCTTTGCAAATAGTTGCTTCTGTGGTGGGTTATAGTGGTACAATGCCAGATTGTCTCATAATGCCTTCTTCATTTCAGGTGCTGCCGGCGTGTTGGTAGGACATCCATTCGATACTGTTAAGGTGGGTTGATTTTCCACAGGCTTACTTAATCATAAACATTTAGGCCGAAGATAGCACTAGCCCTTATGAGTAGAAAGGGTTTTTGTTTTTTAGAATTCAGATGTTTTGGACCCATTAAGTAAACATCCTCATAGGCCAATTCCTGGTATAGAGATCTTGAATTAGATTTTCAGACATACTGAAGCATTGAAACATCCCACAGTGAAGCTAAATTAGCAGCAGATAAAAAAGTTCCAAATTGATAGTCCCTCTTGACTTAAGTGCTCTGATTATTGGGTGTTCAGACCCCTTTTTTTTTAACTCAGCAATCCAGCAGCATCTAGCAAAATGCTTATGGAAGATGCAGATTTTTAGGACTAATGCAAAAAGCGGGGGGGGGGGCGGGTTGCACTGCACTTAAAGGTGCATTTGCTGTTTGCTACATCTTTTTGTTTTCCTGCTCGCTTTGGGGAAACATAAATTTGTTAATTATATTTCCCGGATGACAGTTTGCAACATGATGAAACAGTCTTGCTAATTGACATGCTTCCTCCCACCCTTGGGGAAATACTGTGAGCTCACAAAGAAATACTTTTCTTCTTCTTTTCCTCTTTTCCCCCCACCCTGGTCCGGGAAGCTGACATTTAATTGGTTGAACTCAAAACAGAAGTGGCCGATTGCGGGTGGGAAATGAGATCCAATTAGGCATATCACTTAAAATCTGTGCCTGTACAGCAGTCAAATAGCATCTCAAAACAGGACTGGACTGGCCCATGGATTGGAATGCATGAGTCTAAGCTGGGCTTTAGTCATTTGCACGCTTGCTTGAGAGCAAGCCTCATTGAACGCTGTAGGGCTTACTTCTGAGTACCCATGCACAGGATCAAGTAAATCCAATAATTTCAGCTTAAGTGTGGGTTGGAGCAATGGTTTAAGGATCTTCTGGATGAGGAAATGTGCCGATTAACATTCATAACCTTAAAACATCCCATACTTAATAGGTGCAACAATTATGGATGAAATGTGAAGTCTGTTGGTTTGTAGCTGTAAAATTCAGTCATTTCATGCAATGATGTATCCTTTGCTTGAGAAACCGTTTCCATTAGATTCCGTTGAATTTCTGTTGAATCCCATTTTGTCCCATAGGGGATAATACTATGATCCTTCATTTTATGGACATGTTTGCAGAACCAAACATGAGGACCAAAACTCTGACTGTCTGGTTTTCTTAATCTTCTTCACTTTTTTTTTAAACTTAATGGTCTTAACTGAGAGGGTGAAGGCATAGTCTGGCACCCTGAACTGAAACCTATTTTTTATTTTTATTTTAGTATATTTCTATCCCACCTTTCTTCCATCATGGAACTCAAGGTGGTGTCCATGGGATTCCTAGGCGGTCTCCCATCCAGGCATTGACCAGACTCATATCTGCTTAGCTTCAGAGTGGTGCCTGCAGCATGTGCCCTCGGACCACATCTTGGGACCAGGAAATGCATTTACTTGGAAGCACATTCCATTGAGCATACTTGCAAAGCAAATGTATTCAGAGATGGAGTATTAATTAATTATGATGGCAATATACAAATCCCTCAGTTAACTTGCTACCATGTTGTTGAAGGTACAAAGACATTACTAACAATGCAAAGGGGGAGGATTCTGTTTTAAGGTTGCAATCCTATACACACTTATCATGGGAATAAGTGAATTTAACAGGACTTATTTCTGAGTGGACAATTAGAGAGGATCGTGCTGTCAGTTACCAGTTGCATATTATGGTCTTGCAGGACGATCCTGTCCATGTTTATTGGAAGTCAGTCCCATCGGGGGACTTGTTCCCAAGAAAGTCTGCATGGGATTGCAGTATTAGACTAATTTACTTTAATCTGCTAGGTAATAATAACCTGGTTTTGAAAAAAGGCAGTTTATGCAGATCTAAATCTCGTGT